CTTCTTGTAGTTGTTTGTATTGGTTCACAGTTATATATTGAATACTCTCAAATAAATCAGAAGTGTTGTTATTTTCTGTATTTTCATCTATTTCTATTTCTACTGTTTGTTGGTCTTGTTCAGGTTGTTTCTGTTTGAATTGTTGTTGTTCATGAATTTTCCCAACCACTTCTCTGTTCTGGTTCAGGTTGTTTATTTTTTGTTTCTTGTTGTTTCTCACTTTCCCCCGAGTGTAGTCAACCTCTATTGTTGTTGCTTTTGTTCTGAAAAAATCCACTGTTTGTTGTGTTTCCTTCTACAAGTTTTGAAGCACATACCGCTGCAGTATGACCGGCACCGCTACAATAATAGCAGGTGATTTGCCTTGACGGCTTACTAATGAATTTTGGTATGTTGGGCCTGAGTTTTGAAAAGGGCTCAAACCTTGAAAGGTGTTTTGTTTTGGTATCTTTAGAAAAGAGGGAGCAGTTGTTGATTATAGGGTTGGGACACAGGATAAAGCATATAATAATTTCTCTTAGAACCCCAACTCCAATTATAGTTCCTTTTGCTAGCCCAAGATTTTCAGCTATATGGTACAAGTTGGTTTTCTTGTGGTCTTGCTTGTTTTCTTGTTTTGACTAATAGATCCTTAAATTCATCATCCTCACTAGGGTATGGTTTTGGAATTTTGGCTGCCACGTTCCAGCCTTTTTCCTCTCCCACCCTTAAAGTAAATGATCTTTGTCTTAACAACTTCTGTGCTTCTATTGCCTTTTCTCTTGAATCCTCCTGAATTGCCTTATATAGCATAGACCCGGCATCACAGATTGCATCATATTGGTATTGGTCTCGTGACTTCTTAAACTTCCTCTTTGGGAACCCAGTGTCTATAGCACTGGTTTTATTTAATTGTGCCGACCATTGCTGCAAACTTTTATTCAAAACCTTTGACAGAGAATCGCTTAATTTTTTCTCAATCTTTTCTTCTAGTTTATTTTCCATATAGGATAGAAATGTATAGTTTTGCCCCTTAGCATCTTCCAAGGCAGGATGTCCGCTTTTATCTCCACTATTTTCCTCAGGTCAAGTTCAACTGACTTCCCTTTTTGTTTCTTTTGAGGCTCAGGGTTCCTTTCAGGCTTTCTCCAAAAGTCTTCTAGACGGGTTATCAGCTCCACTTTATTTCTGCCAATAGGAATATTGCACATTTGGCACATTGCCTTTAAATCGATCATCCATAATCAGTTCTAATCAACTGTTGTGTTGTATTCTGCTTGTGAGGTAGTTGCCTTACTACCAACTTCGGTTATTTGTGGTATTTCTTCTGACATTTAATATATATATGTGTGTATGTGTAATTTCCTTCAAATAATACTAATAATATAAACAAAAAGTTGGCTTGTTCTTGCGACATAGCTGGATACAATGTCAAGCAGAAAAATTCAAAAACAAAGATTCCATAGATTATCAGGTTACTTAAATACTAATTTTCCACTTTTCAGTGACTAACATCATAGTTAGAACAATCCCTTCTCAATTTGGACCATCTAGCTGCGTCACAGTAAACACCAGACAAGTCAAAAAAACTCACTGTAATAGAATTTTCTTTTTCTTCTTTTTCTTGATTATTATTATTATATTTTAGTCATATATTATAGTTAGTTATTATTTCTTAGTATTATTTAATATATATTATATTTTTAGCATATTTTTTCTATATTTTTCTTATATT